AATTAATTAATATAGTTCTATGATTTTCACTGAAGTTCTCAAGATTTGTCTGAAGTTCAAGTTATCGAAACTAATTCATAACTTCTTCAATAGTCTAGAGTTTCCTGATGTTTTTAAAACTGACCAAAATATTTCGCAATTTCCTTAAAATTCTCTAGACTGCCCTGCCTTAGTATTTTTTAGTATTTTACTGGAATTGATTTAATTGCCTTTAAGTTCTACAATTTTCCTTAAGTTTTATAAAGTTTATAAACGGTCACGGAACTTTGCCTTATATCACTAATCTTCCCTGCAAGAAGTTTTCTATGCTTACCTCAATTTCTCTAAATTGATCAAATGTTCCGGTTAATTTTCTGATATATATCTATAATTCCCTGAAGCTGCATCAATCATACAATTCTTGGAATATCTCATAATTCCAAGGAACTCCTTGTAAGTCGCTGCAAATTTCCTTAAGTTAATGGGATTTTTCTGATGTTATCTAATCGTCCTCGAAGTACTCAGAACTTCACTGAATATAATGAAACAATCAAGAATATATAATATCGGTGTTTGCTAGAAGTTTTTTTTTTCTTTAATTAATGGAACTTCATTGATGATACCTTATCAACTTAGCTAAACATTCGAAATGTCCCGGATGTTCATATAATTTTTATTGCGTTCCAGAAATTTTCTCTGAGCAAACCGAAGTTTCCGGAAATTCCGGTTTCTGCAATTTCCTTGAAATTTTTTGAACTGTCCTTTAATTGTCTTATCTGTCTTCATGGTCTCGGAGCTTCCCTAAAACTCTCAAATCTATTGAAGATCTCAGTTCTGCTTTAAAATAAATTGAATTCTCGTAAACACCTTTAAACTTCCCTGGAATTCTCTTGATTTCTGTGAAGTTCCTGAAATATTTCTGAAGTTTTCATAAATTTTCTCAAGGTCTCTATACATAATCTCTTGGAACATCTTAAGGGTTCTCGATTTTATTTCAGCACCTCAAGGAACTATCCTGAATTTGTCTAGATTCACGCTTATCAATTTTTAAACCAATTCATTAGTCTGGGCAAAAGTTTCAGGGACTTCCCCTTAAGATCTCTGGAATTCCCCAAAGATCTCTAGATCTAGCTTTCTGAGGTCAATAGAACTTCATTAAAGTTTCCACATTTTTTATAGTACGAAACGTCAATTCATTAAACATGTTGTGATCTTAGACTTACTAAAATGAAGTAAGTGTTCAACGTTTGCGTTATAAAATATTTTTAACACATTTCATAAATAGCATTATTGTTATAAACCTGGAAATTATCCGCTAAAGTTATGGAAAAACCTGAAAAACGCAGGGAACTTTATTTAGCCAAATGAGTGGACACCTTGTAGATAGAGAAGAATGATTAAACGTAACAAAAACTCTATAGCAGGTCGTCAACTTCGAATTGTTCAAAAATAGGACAAAATATAAGCCTAACCAGAAGAATGATCAATCTTGAAATAAATTCACGTTTAAAAAAGTTTGAAACAGTGACTTATTCCAAGAAAAAGTGACTTTAGTGAATTGGCCTTAAAAAAAAGAAAATTTTTAGTGACTGGCTTGAAAAAGTGACCAAGTCACAAAAAAGTGAGTCGCTTCCAGCCCTGATGGAGCGTCACATATCATATAAGTTTACATTATATATCATGTACACTTCTGAGACATTTCATGCAATGTAGCAAATATTGTATACAAAAGCCCATTGTTGTAAACAACATTGTTTACAAGTTGCTCGGTCACGTGAAATGAAATACTAGTTTACGTGAATGAATGTTTACATCACTATTAAAATTCGGAATTTTTATCTGTGAGCTATTACATTGAACCAGAGACAAACAGACATAACACTCACAATCACATTCATCGCAAATAATGTTTTAGTTGGGAATGTGCTTGCATTTCTCATGGTGGCACCACTGAAGCATTGAGCAAGCCCCACATTTCAAACTTATCAGTGATGCCAGTTCTTTTTCACGTCTAGTTAGTAGATATCAGCTCTTGCAAATGATAAATGGTGACACATACCACATCTGAAAAAATACAGAAAAAAAGTTGTTGAATATTACATCAAAACTGCTGCACATTAGTCATTCCGTTCCTAACATTACTTTGTATGAGGTACACAGAATTCGAGACCAAATCATGTTGATGACTGTAATATTCTATCAACTTTTACCATTTATTGATGTTCAATACTTCACCATGAATATCATAGATTGATACATACTATTTTTTTCTGTGTACATATTAAAGTGATGAGCCGTGGTAGAAAGGGCACTAATAAGTGATGCATTACCTCGTTTATAAACTTGTTTCCATTAAATGAAAAAGCGCACTAAACAAACAAAACAAATCCCTAAGAAAAAGTCTTAGCTTCTGTGAATTTTTCCTACGGATCCGTATTGCTGCAGAATTCAATCAATTCTATAGATCTACGGAAAATTTCGTAGAACCGACATCACTGACTTCCATCTGTTTTGTTTTTATTCAACACAGCTGACGCGTTGACAGGACGAGGTAAAAGCAACTAGTGAAAAAAATTGCATAAACGAATGATGCTTTGGTTGCAAAACAATGCTTGGGAATGTGGATGATAGATGGTGCTAGTGCGCATGCAAAATACGCTTGACGATATTTTTTGAAGAATTTTCTTCTAAGAGTTATGTCTGTTTGTCTGTGATTGAACTATGAAAAATAAAACGAATTTTTAAACTCCAACAAGATTTTCGTGTTCTACCTTTATGTCTATTTTGCTCACCAATCGCGATTGCTCATAACATTTAAAATTGCTAATGGTGACCCTCTGAAATCAATGTTGACAGGTTATAACTTTAGCTCCTCTTCTTGCATTTATCACATAAAAAAATGTTGTTACAATATCTCATAGTTTCATAACTCCAAATAATAGCATTTTAGCTGTAATTAGGATTTGCGGGCATGCTCCAGAGCGATAAAAATTAAAATGATGAAATTGCTTTCTATTTTGGAAAACAGAGCAAAAATAACATCAAATTTTGAAGCATTGGTCAAGGTCAAAATGTGAACACTCCGCAGATCTCACAACTAAATCTCAAACCACGTAAATAGTGATTGCAGTTTGGAAATTTAATTAGAAACAATGCGCAAACAAACTTCAACGAACCACTCAACGATACAGATCTTCCAAGACGCTAATACCAACGGAGCCTAAACAAACATAAAATTCCAATAATCCATTACAATGGCAGTCTATGGAAGTCAGCAAAAAATAGAATGAACTTTTCCATCACCCATCTCATGGGTGACCCATTTTCTTTTATTCGTTAGCACTCGCTGAACAACGTTCTTTATGTTAACCAACCCCAACAGAGATTGCCATCTGCTTAGCCTAACAAAAAGCCTATTTCCTGTTGTACAAAAGCACACAATGCGAAACACAACCCATCAATCCCTTGTGCAGCTGCTCTCCCATGATTTGCAATCGCAACCATTTCGAAATTCGCTCCGATGATGGCCCCGACCTCTCGGTATGGACCAGTTGGAGCTTTTCACCGAACCGAACCGGACTCCAGCAGGCCAATGCCTTGACGCTAATAAAAAGAATATTGAAATTGGAATAAATTATCCTATACTGACCGAAGGCGGAATGGGGAAACCATGCTGCCGAAATAGAGAAATCATCCCAAACAGACTGTCATGCAAATTAAGGCGGGCATTCCATACGGTAGGTATACATATATACAACTAATCTACTCATTCATTTCGAATCTACTAGTGTAGTAAGTTCTATTTGTCTGTTTGGTTTCGAGAAGAATTTGCGCCGGAAGAGGCTGCTGTTGTGCTCCTCCCGTTGATGAGAAGAGAAGATGATGGCTCTATCAGTTCCACCCGTACTCGGTAGATAAGAGATTTCTCGCGTAACATTTGGAAAGGGCCTATCAGTTTTTGTAAACAACAATTGTCTCCTTCCCGATAGTGTTCTTGGTTTGCGTATGCGACCTTCGGTTCGCACGAAATGGGAGTTACAAGTTTTGTTTACGAAATCTGATAGGTCCTTTTCAAACGTTACGTGAGATTGTTTGTATCAACAATGAAGCATAGAGCGAATAAACGACAAAGAAAATGAGTAGGTAATATTTGTCTGGAATCACAGCATTCTACATAGGTAAGGGCTTCTGGGTTTATGCACGCCCGAGGCAAAATTACTTTTTGGCATTTAAAATACGTTTTTTATTTCTATCTTCTTTTTCAGTAGATCCTCAACGGTGAATTCAATGGATCAACTAGTTCAATGGCTCAACTAGCGATGCTGCAAGAGAAAATGACCTCGACAATGTTATGGAAATATATTTGAAAATAGGCCAAAACGTCATTTTGCCTCGGGGGTGCATTTTACCCCATGTTCCTCTATGAATATGTACAGCCTGATGAAGCCTATGTTTCTCGGTTTGGAAAAAGGATGAAAGCATCAAGGCAAGGCACGACGGTATAATAACGCCCCAACCAGCCTGAATGCTCATGGCGTATCGCAAAGCCGAATATGTAGTTCAAGAGCGTCTCATCCGGGTGGTCTTTGAAGTGGTTGTCTACTGCTCGGAGCGTGGAAGTGTGTGTGTATGTGCCTATATTTATGACAAACCTACCAACCACCGACCACAGAGCATCGTGCTTCATGGGCACAACGGATCGAGGATTGCACTTGTACGGAGTGGGTCTTATGTATAAATATTGCAATATTACGGTCTTATGGAAAGGATATTTGGCCTGGAAAGCTATTTTAAGATGATTCTGAATTGCTTTTGTGTATTTTACTTTTGCCGCATCGGATACACCGAATGGAAACGATTAACTAGAGTGGACCCGATAAGCTGCTAAGACGATTTTGTCAAGAGGCCAACTATATTTTTTCCAGATATATTCTACCTTCAATTTATTGGTCTATGAATAGAGAGGATATTTTTGCTGTTCAACACAAACTCCCCCACAAGAAGCATCCTTGTTTACTCACCTCATCCCATTTGAGGAATTTTTCACCATCCTGCAGCGCCTTCGGGACTTCCATCGTACCCAGCTTAACCGCGGTTGGATTGGTCACTGTTTGGCCTCCGGTATTGCGTGGGGACTGCTGCTGCTGCTGCTTGCCACTTCCCTCCGCACTCAGAGTTGCCGAAGAAGCCATGGTTATGTGTCGAGATACGCCTGATGTATTAATATCACTCAACACACTCACTCAATTAATGCTCCACCTCTTCACTGTATCCCGCCCTGTACTTCAACCCAGCCGTAGAAGCAGGAACGGAGATAGCCAATGCAATGGTTTCACGTTACAGCACGCGTTCGTATGAATAATTCTTTATTCACTTCTTTCTCCTCTTCTATGCACAAGATTCAATAATTCAATGCAATTAGCACATACACTTGCTGCTTCCGCTTGCTCCCTCGGTGGCAGCAGCGATCGCGGAGAAACACGAATGCAAGCGTCAAACACTTTAATACGACAGTATCATTACTTTTTTTTTAATTATTTATATTTACACTCAATTGGATTCAGTTTCAATTTGAATCCAATTCGGTAAGCCATCATTCCATGCCTACCTTTTCGCGAATTAATGCAGGTTTATTACGCGCGACCACACCCACGCATTTGAGAGAATGCAAACACGCTGTTGATTAACGTCACGCGACGAATTTAATAGCTGGCCGACCGAGATAGGGTAAGTGGTTGGGTTTTTTTTTTGTGTGTGGTATATGATATGGAGCTCGTTGACACAATTTGAAAATCAATTTTACTTTAATGTAGAATATCGAAGTTATGCGATCCCTGGTGGCCTCGAGTATGCTGGGCGTTGAAAATGTTCGTCCCTTGGGTGAATTAGTCTAGAATGAAGGAAATGAAAAAGTTATGATTAGCTAAATTCTCCGAAAATTTAATAGAATTTAATATGATTTCATCATATTATTTGCTAACTTCAAAACCAGTTATCTTTATTGTTGTTTTTCCCATGCAAAAGTAATGAATACCGTGAACTCTAACCTTAGGAAAATAATAGATTTATAAAGATTATATCCGTTTGCGTTGCGTTGACGTAAATTTGACAGTTAGGAAATAGATTTAGCTGTCACTTTACCGCAACGCAGCAGATCCGGATCTAATGTGGGTGGGCCTTAAAAACAGATCAAAACAACAAAAAGAAAGAAATATCCAGACCAAAACAGAGAGAATGTAAATATTAGAACAGACAAATAGGTAAGATGACAAACATACTGCTTCATAAAATAACGCAAGCAGACAGTACTAATAGGATTCGAATACTGACAAATAAACACAACCGCCATTTTGAAAGTTTATGAGTCTCCGAACTCAGATTTTATATTATTATTTTATATTGCAATCTTGCACAGAAAACAATGGTTTTCTGTGCAAAATTTGCCAATAAAATGTTTTTAAAAGTTTAATAACTTGACAATAAGTAGTTGATCAAGGATTTTTTAAATGTTTCAACGTGAATTTTTGCAGTTTTCTAAGCCATTTTAAACACTTTCTTGGATTTTGCTTGCTTAAATTAGATGATTTTTTACCGTGTATATTTTATTTAAAAAATATATATATTTTCCCAAAAATTTCTCTCAGCGTGATTCTAATTAGAAGTGACACTTTCGAGTTATGATTTGTTGAACAATCTCGAATACGCCATTCTAAAGTTTTTTTTTTTTTGCGTGATTCACAATGGCCGAATTTAAGCGAAACTGTAAATGATTGACCATGAAGCTGGGTTTAGACAGGGCAAGTCAATTGATCAAGTCAGTTGAATTCAACTGTCTTGATCAACTCACTTGAATTGAAAAAAGTTGAACCAGGCTCAACTTTTCAAGCCAATTCAATTCAACTGAGTTGATCATTTGACTTGCCTAGTCTAAACCCAGCATAACTGTTCCGTTTTGAACCCCTTCGGATACGGTTGTGTTTTAAGTTTGCTCTCTGTTTTGTGCGTGCGTTCGCTTTCATAGTTTTCGGCGACTTTTGTCTGATTAGTGCTACTCTGCCTCCCGGACGGTTATACGTGTATGATTGGGGGTTTTCTCGCTTTCTGGGAAGTTTTAGAATCAAGAAAGAGAACGTGTTGCATCATGTTTGTAAGCATCGGAAGAGATGTCGCTATCTGCGTTATTTTTTTTTTCTTCGCTTGTGCTCCTGGACCAGAAATATGAGGTATCGCGAGTGATAGTTTTTAATATTAATGTATTTACGCGGTGTATGATTTTATGAACGGTCGTGTATATTTCTTTCTTTCTTTTGTTTGTGTTTGTGAGCAGAAGCACTCGATGCAAGGTAGAAGTTATACGACTTCAGAAGGGAATGATCAACATGTTCGATCTGCAAAATTCAAGTTTCGCAAATAAGCTGTTGTTGGAAATGAGTATCAATTAGCGAAGTTAAAGTCGGTTCATTAACTGTTACTTGGTGCGTCAAATTACAGGAACATAAGACAATTAGTTCGTAATTATTAGGCACACGAAGTACGATAAGTTGTTGTCATCAAAAGGTAAGTTCGTTGATATAGGTAAATTCATTGAAATAATTAGTTTTTGAGTACATATACTAATATCAGTGGCGTTTCCTTCACCTCAATCTACCTGTGCACCAACTACATAAACATAAATAATTATCAAATTATTTCTAGCAATGGATAGATATCGAGTAAACTAGAAGATTAAGTGTATTTTTCAACGGATTCGAGTATGAATATGACATTAAATCTGGTATTGAAAGTTGATGCACAGGTAAAAAGTAACGTTACGGGACTCCACAGATAGTACATAAATAACCCTTTTTGTCAACCCCTCCTGATAATCTTTTCTAAAATAATACGAATTCCAAAACAAGATCTTAAAGCATTATTCATTGTTTAAAATAATAGGAACTGTTTATCTAAAATAATTCGGATGCAGAGGGGTTGACAAAATTGGAACACAACTGTAAATCATATATTTTAAAACATTATATTATAAATTTGGTTGGGGGAGGGGGTCAGCCTAAGGGAATCAAAGGACTTATTGACTGGACGAGGGTTCGTGGATTTGCCAGTCCCTTGTAACGTGATTACAGATGGCCATCTGGTCGTTTTGTCTTCCAAAGGTCTTCAATGAAGCTGATTCGCCCTGCTGCAACCAGGGCTCTACATTTTCGAAGCTCTAAAATGAACTGGTCTTTTGTTTCTCTCATACATACGTGTTCGACGCTTCATTTCTATAACGCCTAGCTAGACTATCAGCAAGAAACGAAAATAAAAAAGCAGGACGCTTAGAAGGAAAGGCTGGCTGTGGAACTTCTCGTCGTTGCTTTGCTCATCGCTTTCAATGTAACTAACGTCGATTTTCTAGTTAAATGAAACCTCATTATGGCTTTCAATCCCCTTTCACGAACACTTTATCACTGCTCTTTCAATTTGTATAAAATGCGTTATGTCCCGTTTTCGATCATTTTTTTTAGATAAATATATGGATGGAAGATAAATTAAAAATATTGCGTGTAATCTTCAAGTGTTTTCACGTGAGAAATGCTTTAAATGTGTTATTTCATTTTCCGTCATATACGTCATGAAACCTCTGTTGATGTTTTTCATGAAAGATAAAACTATCAAAGTCGAGCGCTCTTTCGCTCATCCGTTTCACCGAAGCTTGAAAGGAAGACCAATGGAGCGACGGGAGAAAGAGAGCCAAGCGATTGAAAATTTGTTTGTGCACGCCGACTGAGGTTCTAGAATGCTACGAAGCTGTTCGACTTTAACAGAAAAAGAAAGCCAGCAGTCTCTTCGTCGCATGGATTTGGTCGATTGAAGCTGATATTGTGACGCCCTGGCTGCAACAATCCATCAGGCAGAACTTTATAACCGGTAAAGTATCTGCAGACATTGGTAATCCTTGCACTGATGGTGGGCTTGATTCACATCACATCACAGCACATCAACTGTAAATGATTGGCCATAACAAACATAATGAAGTTATGAAGTTAGGTAGTTAGAGGAAAACTTAAATAAAACAACAAAAAATGTTATCTTCCATGTAATTTCACTTAATTTTGGTATCTATGATAGATACGTATTTCGACAACAATGTGCATTCTTCATCAGTGTCATTTCCTCTAAAGACTTATCAAAATCTAACCCCCTTAAGTACTCATCCCCTAGGTAAGAATGTCAAGATCACAGATTCCTTATTAGAGAGTTGTGAAGATTTTGAACCTTTGCTTTACTTAAATCTTTGGTTTTTTAGTTAGGTAGGTTCCGATTCTACGCATTGCAGTTTCATTTTTATACCTTCTTACCTAGGGGATGAGTACTTAAGGGGGTTAGATTTCGATAAGTCTGTAGTGGAACGACACTGAAGAAGACTGCACTTACGTACTTCACTTTGCTGGTCCGACGTCCCTCAGGAATTTAACCTGTATAGCAATGTTGCGCCAACTAACTCGAGTATCGCCAACAATTCCTCGAGCGTCCCACACATCCTTGATCTTGCTCCACGTGGTCCAACCACCTAGCGCGCTCCACTCCGCGATTTGAGGTGAACACCATTTTTTCGGATTATTATTATCCGGCATTCTTACAACGTGTCCCGCCCATAGTACCCTTCCAGTTTTAGCGACTTCCTGGATAATGGGTTCACATAGAGTTGCGCCAGTTCGTTGTTCAATCTTCTCCTCCAAACACCGTTTTCATATACCCCGCCAAAGATGGTCTTAAGCACGCATCGTTCGAAAACTCCCAGTGCTTACAGGTCCTCCTTACATGTCTCACACCCGTAAATTACTACCGGTCTTATCAGGGTCTTGCACATGGTACACTTAGTGTAAAAATGAAGTTTACCCGACCTTAGGGTCTTTTGAAGTTCGTAGTAGGCACGACTTCCGGTAAAAATGCGTCTCCGAATTTCTCTACTGCAGTTGTTATTTCGCACTCGGTTCCTCCAGCTAACAGATACTGAACCTTTTCTGCCTCATGTTTCAGTCTTGCGTACTGGTCCGCCACCACCTGAAACGTTCTTCAAACAATTGCAACGTCGTCAGCGAAGCAGATGAACTGGCTGAACCTTTTGAAGATCGTGCCCGGCATGTTAAAGCCCGCACGTTTCATAACGCCTTCTAGACAAGAAGGGCCATCGCCTTGTCGAAGACCTTTGCGTGTTTCAAATGGGACGGTTAGTGCACCCGATATCTTCACACAGCACTGTACACCATCCATCGTAGCCTTAATCAGTATCGTCAGTTTCCCGGGAAAACCGTTGTCGTCCATAAGCGGCTTTAAAATCGATGGATAGGTGGTGTGTAGGAACTTGATATTCGCGACAATTTTGGATCTGCCGCAACGTGAAGATTTGGTCTGTTGTAGATCGTCCGTCCACAAAACCGGCATGATAACTTCCCACAAATCTGCTTACTAGCGGCGATAGACGGCGGAAGATGATCTGGGAAAGCACTTTGTAGGCTGCGTTGAGAATGGTGATCGCTCGGTAGTTCTCACATTCTAACTTGTCACCCTTCTTGTATATTGTGCATATTACCCCCTCTTTCCACTCCTCCGGTAGCTGTTCTGTATCCCAGATCCTGAATATCAATCATACCCATACAGACTATGGCTTATATCATGTAATATAGACTGTCTTGCAATGAGCACTCATACATAGGATTTCCAGTGGAAACTAGGTATTACGGGGTATTAACTTCACTTATAGTGGGAGCTGTTGCTTGTACTTCGTCCACCGCACAGATCAAGCCGTTCCTCCTGCTGTCTTTGCTCACCGCCTCTGTTCCATTAAGGTGTTCATCGTAGTGCTGCTTCCACCTTTCGATCACCTCACGTTCGTCCGTCAAGATACCA